AAGGGATATCATTGCTGATGTCTGATGGATCTTGGCTGAAAGCAGAGAATATCAGAAAGATGTTTACCTGTGCTTTATTGACTATGCAAAGGCTTTCGTTTGTATGGATCACAACAAGCTATGGACAACACTGCAAAGTATCAGTATTCCGGAACACTTAATTGTGTTCATCAGGAATCTGTCCTTGGACCAAGAGGCAGTTGTTCGAACAGAACATGGAAACACTGAATGGGTTAAAATTAAGAAAGGTGTGTGACAAGGTTGTATTCTTTCACTATACTTATTCAATCTGTATGCTGAGCAAATAATCTGAGAAGCTGGGTTTTTCTTCATATAGGATTTCTTCATCAGGATTGGAGGAAGACTCATTAACCACCTGCGATATGCAGATGATACAACCTTGCTTGCTGAAAGTGAAGAGGACTTAAAACATTTACTGATGAAGATCAAAGAGCACAGCCTTGGATATGGATTACATTTCAATGTAAAGAAAACAAAAACCCTCACCACTGGACCAATAAACAACATTCTTATCAATGGAGAAAAGATTGAGATTGTCAAGGACTTCATTCTTCTTGGATCATCTATCAACACTCATGGAAGCAGCAGTCAAGAAATCAAAGTCAAGAGCAAGGATGTCAGCTTGAGGACTAAGGTGTACCTGATCCAAGCCATGGTATTTTCAATAACCAGCATGCGAAAGCTGGACATTGAATAAGGAAGACTGTAGAAGAATTGATGCTTTTGAGTTATGGTGTTGGAGGAGACTATTGAAAGTGCCATGGCTGCCAAAAGACCCAATAGATCCATTTTGGAAGAAGTGCAGCCAGAGTGCTCCTTAGAGGCCAGGACATGTTGTCAGGAGGGACAGATCACTGGAGAAGGATATGTTTGGTAAGGAGGAGGGTCAGAGAAAAAGAAGGAGACCCCCAAGGAGATGGCAGCATCAATGGACTCAAACATGGCAATGGTAGTGAGGTTGGCCCAGGATTGGGCAGTGTTTCGTTCTGCTGTGCATAAGGTTGCTGTGAGTCAGTACCTACTTGATGGCACCTAACAACAAAATAGAAGGGACTCAGGCCTGGCAAGTTTGCCCAGTAAAAGGAGATTTCAAGTGATGGGAGAAGGAGTTAGAGGAATGGGAGGAAATGGCAAAAGAGAAGTGGTTAGATAGAAAGGCACGTGTGGATGAATTTTAATGCAATCAGAAAGCTGTCATAATGATAATAAAGGAATATATTCAGACGTCAAGAGAAGAGAAGGTGCTGAGTTTTGGTCCCTGCATTTAAATTAGGCGCAGGCGGAGGAGGTGCCTGCTCTATCCTTCTTTTCTCTTTCCAAAGGAGGAAATGGAATATTTAAGCAGGAGGTGGGCCAGGGATTGGGGGGAATGGGGGACATTTCTATTTCTTTGTCTTTCTGGAAATCTCATTTAACTAGAATCTTTCAAATGCCTTAGGGGTTGTGGGGAGCAGTACTGGGCCCAGCCTGGAGAGAAGAGTTTAAAGTACTGTAGGAGCTCTGGTAGCGTAGTGGTCAGCAGTTCGAAACTACCAGCTGTTCCGTGGGAGAAAGATGAGGCTTTCTGCTCCCATAAAGATTTACAGCCTCAGAAAACCTGCACAGGGTTACTATGAATCAGAACCGACTCCAACAACACTCAACCAAGGCTCTAAAAGCTCCCGTTTCACTTCAGGTAAAATATTGCTGCATCCAGGAGTCAAACCTAAGGGCTCCCCTCCCTGCACTTTCTCTTTTGTCTCTGTTCTTTGTCAGTCCATCACTCTGCTCTTTGTCCTTCCTAACTCTCGTTCCTCTGTCTCCTGTCCTTTTTCCTCTCTGCTCCAACCTTTTCCTCACTTTTTTCCCTTTTTCTCACTTTCCCTTGGTTTCCAGTCCCTGCTCCCCCCCACCCAAGAACTTGGAATTGGAGATTCAAGGGTCTGAGGCCCTGGGGATGCACTCCAAAGTTCTACCACTGTCCAGGAAGCCCTCAGAACAGCCAGGCAGGGCCAGGCATGCATTGATGGGGCTTCAGAGCTTCACTGAAGAATGCCATTCGTGGAGACCTGTGCTCCTTATGCCTTTCATGGGGAAGTAGATTGCCAGGTTTTTCTTCCTAGGTGCTTTGGTTAACAGCCATTTACACCACTCAGGGACTCCTCCCTAGAGCAAGTATTCCCCAAAGAGGACCAAGTGGCAGCTGATCCCTGGGAAGTCTGGGGCATCACTTCTGCTATTCTTTATTGGTTAGAGTAGTCTCCCCACCCAGATTGAAAGGGCGAGGAGCCCACCTCAATGGGTGTGAGGGGTGTAAATTACATTAAAGTAAGAGGTCTTCTTGTAGTCATTTAGGGAAGTCCAAGCTACCACAGATCTACAAAGCCCAATGTGATCTCTGGCACCCTGAACACACAGTTGAATGGGATCACCAAGCCACTTGGCCTCCTTCACAGAGCCTGGAGCCAAGGTGCATGCTGGCTGTTGAAGGACTTCAGCCTTCAGGAAGAGACCTCCCCAAAAGTGCCATGGCTAAATTCTGTAGCATGAATAAATCCTGGTGTGGCATTGTGGGTTACTGGGCCAGACTGCAGAGCCGTTTGAACTGCAAGGTCGGTGGTTCAAGTTCACCAGGCACTCCTTGGAAACCCTACACAGGGTCGCTATGGCACTTAACAACAATAGACCAAGGAGGGGCATCCACATGGAAGTAAAATCATGTGAGATCAAAAGGAGGTGTGCCCATGGGCATTCATTTATGAGGGTTTACTTACTATGTGTCAGGCACACTGCTTCACCGGGTTCCAAGGACTAAACGTTCAGGGGAGGGGAGCGGTGCTAGACAGAGACCAACTACATTGGCAAAGCAATAAATAATTGGCCATGGAGTGTTGTTAGACAGACCTAGACCAAAGGAAGGAGAGGCTTTAGTGAGGAGCTGATATTCAAACAGACCTAGAGGAAAACAAGGAGTCAACTTTGTGTCTTGGGGAGGGGTACACCAGCAAGTACAAATAGCATATGCAAAGGTCCTGGGTAGCCGACTTTCTGGTGGTTAACTAATCTTGGTACCTGTAGGGGAAGGTGGCAGAGAACTCTGCTGTGTGTTCCAGGGGAGGGAGGAAAGGAACCCGGGTTTGGCCCGACGAGTACAAGCCCGCGGAGCCGCCTAAACGCACCAAGCAAGCAGCCAGGCCTCTGCTCAGCGTGTGCCCGTTTTTTACGGGCAGGAGGAGTACTTCGGCCAGGTCGCTGCAATCCGACACCCTCCCTCTCCGCTCAGGCTCCGCCGTTCCTCTCTTCCTCCGCCCGTTCCTTCCTTTACCCGCTGTCCCCCTTGTCCGCTCCCCAGCTCCCCAGCACTCCCTCTTCCCACCCCTCTACCCCCCTTCGGCCGTGCCTTCCTCCTCCCCCCACCCCCACCCCCGAGTTCTTCCTCGCGCCTCCTTGACCCCTGGCCCGGGTAAGCATCTCCTAATTTTGTTCCAGAAGATAGAAAACTCTTCGTGGGCATGCTCAACAAGCAGCAGTCCGAAGACGACGTGCGCCGCCTCTTCGAGGCCTTTGGGAACATCGAGGAGTGCACCATCCTTCGCGGACCCGACGGCAACAGCAAGGGTGCGTGGGGACCAGGCGGGGCGGGGCCGGGATAGGGGTCTCCTCACTGACCTGGAGGACTGAGCCTGGGATTTGGGCCGCTCTGTCCAGTCCGGACAGGGACCAGAAGATTTAAAGCTACTTCTGCGTCTCTCGGCCAGTCCAGGTCTTTCTGTCTCTTGTCTGTTTCTCTGGGTTTCTCAGTCTCTGTGTCTCCCCCTTTCGGTCTTCATCTGGGAAACTCCCTTTTCTCCCGGTCCCCCACCTCTCTGTCCGCCTCTTGGATCTGATCTTCTCTGGGCCCTCGGGCCGTGGCTCAGCCTCTCCCGTTCCCTCAGGGTGCGCTTTTGTGAAGTACTCCTCTCACGCCGAGGCGCAAGCGGCCATCAACGCTCTGCATGGCAGCCAGACAATGCCGGTGAGTGCGACCTCCGGGCTGGGCGGGGACCGCAGCGGGACCCGGACGCCTGGCACCCGAGGGGCCCTACCTGTCCTCCAGGGAGCGGTCCGGTCCACGCAGTGCCTAGTGCTTGCCGCTTTCACAGCCTCCCAAGAGAACCCATTTCTCAGACAAGGATACTGAGGCCTAGAGATGTTAAAAAACTGACCCGAGATCACCCAGCTAGAAAACGCCTATCGTGGGGGTTAAGATCCTCACAGGTCTGGGCGACCACAGGCCCTGGACCACCATCACCACCACCATACCCCTCTCACCGCCCCATCCCCGCAGTTCTCTGTAGTATGGACTTGGTGGGCCCTGAGCTGGGGCTTGGACAGCTGGGGGTGAAGGCGGCCAGGGCACTAAGTCTCACCTGCCATCCCTGCTGCAGGGAGCTTCGTCCAGTCTGGTGGTCAAGTTCGCCGATACCGACAAGGAGCGCACGATGCGGCGAATGCAGCAGATGGCTGGCCAGATGGGCATGTTCAACCCCATGGCCATACCGTTCGGGGCTTATGGCGCCTACGCTCAGGCAGTAAGTGTGGCTACCACAGGGCAGTCAGGCGGGAGGGGTGGCAGTGCTCAATCCCAGTGCCAGAAAGCCCCAGAGAGCCTCTGAGAGGAGGGGAATCTAGCTGCACCCAGAGGAGTCCTGCTCAGAGGCAAAAAAAAAAGTACAGATTGGTCAGGAATAAGCCCCGAAGTGAAGGTGGGAGGGGTTGAGAAAGCTGGTCCAGTCTAGGGTCGTTACCTGGAGGAGGTGGGTGCCGCCCTGATTCTTAAGATGTGGAAAAAGAGACTGAAGGACCTCTGGGTGAGGGCAGCAAGGTGGATTACCCCGATCTCCCACTCCCAAAATCTATGCTAAACCCTAGAAAGGCTGATGGGAGGTCAGCCCTCCCTCAGTCATGGAAGGGGGCCCCTCAGACCTTCTAGTTCTCTTGACCACAATCGTTTTGAGGTACCCCCAAACATTTGCACCTACATTGTCCCCACATTTCCCCCAGACCCCACCTTAGGGCTCTGACTCACCATCTTCTTTCTTCTACACAGGGGCCCCCTCTATCAGCATGTCCCCTGAACTGCCTCCCACACTTACCTCCACAGCACCCACATAGGTGACCTTGAGCTAGATCAGGGCTCTGGTGCTAAAAATGTAAGCTCACCTCACGTCAGCAGCGTCAGCTTTGGCCAATTTTAACAACCTCTCCAGCCCCCACTCACCTTTGTGAGGGCATCATGGGAGCCAGGGATTTTTATTCCGTGACTCTCTTGTTGTTTCTCTCCAGCAAAGCTCTGGGTTAAGACTGTTTAGGTCAGAAATTCATGCCAACTTAATTCTAGAGGCTCATCCAGCATGTCATATCCCCACAAACGAACAGCAAACCTCATGCAGAGCTGACCAACACCTGGAGTTAGTCCCCCTCTCTCTACTTCCAACAACTTCAACATCCCAATCTCCTAGAGGCCATTGCTTTTGAATAAAGTCATCTCTGCAGGGAGGTATTCCTTAGTAGTCATTGGAGACTAATGGGCAGGAATGGGGGAAACAGCAGGGCTCTGTGTTGGGGCCTAGGGAGATATGACTGGGGTTGCTGGTCTCCAGGAGTTGAGCCTCATGGTGGGGAGGGCTGTCCCCCTGGAAGCACGTGATATTTTTTCCACTCCCTTTGCCCCAGCTGATGCAGCAGCAAGCGGCCCTCATGGCCTCAGTTGCGCAGGGAGGCTACCTGAACCCCATGGCTGCTTTCGCCGCCGCTCAGATGCAGCAGATGGCAGCCCTCAACATGAATGGCCTGGCGGCCGCACCCATGACCCCAACCTCAGGTGAGTTCACAAGAGCAGCTGGCTCTACGTTGGGCCTTATATCTGGCCTATTTGGGTTGTTGTCCTGTGGCAAAGACACGTAATATCTGGGACCAAGTAGACCTGTTCTTCTGACAGTCTGTCTAAAATAATGTTCTAATCACCAGGACACAGAAGGGAGATGGAAAATGATTTCAGGATGCTGAGAATCTCAAGTTTAGCCATATCAGGGAACAATTTATCTCAATCTCTATTAATGATGGTGGTGGTGGTCTGTCGAGTTGCTTCCGACTCATAGCAACCCTGTATAGGGTTTCTGCTCTTTACAGGAGCAGAAAGGCAAATCTTTCTCCTGAGGAGCGACTGGTAGATTCAAACTACTGACCTTGCTTGCTAACTACAAGCTACCCAGCTCAAAATCCAGGACACTCCCAGGCTCCTTCTATTAACAGTAGATATCTGGAAGGAATTTAAAGGAAAACATCCCCCTTTGAGGTCTGAAGGGAGAAGACTCCTGCCCATTCTTTGGCATAATTCAAGCCAGTGGTGTTACTAGGGGTTGTGGGGATTGTGTATCACACTGATGACACTGTTGGGGGATGGGAAGGTGACACAAAAGTGACTTGACAGTCTATAACATGTTTGTGCAGTGTTTCAGAAAACATTTAATATTTTTTATAAAAATATTTCTGTAGTTATAACAACAAAAGCATTTTTCATTTACATATATCCGTATATTTAGAAGGCTAAAAAGCTATGCTACTTGACTTTTTTTCTAACTTTTTATTGTGAATTGAGTGGATGTTTACAGACAAGATCATCAGTTTTACATTCAACAAACCATACACTTTGTTTCATCTCAATGATTGCAGTCCCCTCCATGCAACAATAGTTATCCTGCTTCCTCCCTGTGGTTCCTAGTTGCATTCCACCCATCTTCCCATCCTTTCTCATCTTTGTCCTTAGGAAAATGTTGCCTTTTTGCTCTTGAATGGTTGACCATTCCATGGTGAGCATACCTTACTAGGGTTGTTGTCTCCCCTATATATCCATCTACTGCTTGGCTGAAAATTGGTCCATGAAGAGTGAGTTCCTTTCCAAACCTGAAGGGTGGTTGAGGGTCACAGTTTCAGGTTCCTCCAGTCACTTTCTGATCAGTAAGCCCCAATTTTTTTTTTTTTTTTTTTTATGATTTTGAATTTTGCTCCACGTTTTCTCCCACTCTATCTAGGATCTTCTAATGTGATCCCTTTCAGAGAATTTGGTAGTGGTAGCTGGGCTCTATCTAGTTTTTATGGTCTAAGAGTTGTGGTGACTGATGTTCACATGCGCCATTGGTCCATTGGACTAGTTGATTTCAAGCATCTTCAATTTCCATCACTTTTCTTTCTTCTGCACATGGAGAGACCAAAAGTTGCACCTTAAATGGATGCTCATGAACTTTTAAGATTCCACATGCTAGATGTGAAATACTGTCTTTGTGGACTGTATTATTCCAATATGTATCATACCACAGTTCCCTGAGTCCCAAGTCCTCAGGCCCAGCAACTCATTGCCTTAAGATGTTTGATAATAGCTAAGAAAGTTTCAACATTTTGCCAGTGGTTATGCTCCTCAACATTCTTAGGCGTGTTTGCAGCAAACATCCTCTTTCAAACTCTTTTGTATTTGTGGATCTATTCCCACTCTTGTTTCCATCCTCATTCAGCTTGTTTAGCTGTCCATGTATCTACCCATAGACACTGTTGTTCCACAGTTGTGTGTTTACCTCTGTCCCTTTTAACCCTTGCATATCTAGCTCCTTGTGTCTTCATCTGTCTTCAGCATTCTTCTGCCAACTTTCCTTTTCTTGTGTATTGCCCTCTCCATCACCCAAGTTAGCATATGTCTACCTCCACCTGAGAAGTAGCATTCCTTCCTAGGGAGAGTAGACTAGCTTCTCAGTGATCTAGATAAGAGAGTTGAACCAGCAACTGAGAAACCCCTTTGTGCTCTAAATAAGGACTAACATATCCTAACTTAAAGTGAGACACTAATTAGAAAAAGACTGGAGGACATCCAACTGTGATCAAAGTCAAGGACATTGAGGATGAGTGGTCAGTGGTCAAGAAAGTCATCATGGGATCGTTAGCACTTGGACTCTGACTTAAATGATAGATACAGTTGGAATGGGTAAAGTCACTCCTTGTTGTTAAGTGTGTTGAGTTGGTTCCAACTCATAGTTACCCTGTATAGGGGTTACCAAGGAGTTGCTGGTGGTTTTGCTGTTAGCAGTCCAGTGATGATCCTGAAGTGCCACACCAGGATTCCAAGTCATTACTAGCAGACAGAAAACTAGAGGCATGGGTTAAAACGGGATAAAAATGAGCAGGCATGTGAGGTTTGCATGCACGGAAGCAACGAGTGGCGCTCCATAGGGTCTTTGTCTCACCTCTAAAATCAGGTGGCAGCACGCCTCCGGGCATCACTGCACCAGCTGTGCCTAGCATCCCGTCCCCCATTGGGGTGAACGGCTTCACCGGCCTCCCCCCACAGGCCAATGGACAGCCTGCTGCGGAAGCTGTGTTTGCCAATGGCATCCACCCCTACCCAGGTAAGCACACCAACAGCACATCCATCTTGTCCCTGCCCTTAATGAAAAACAACAGGGCAGGTGTGGCTCCTGCCCACTCTCTGTTCTTGGAGGAACACCAGATGGGATTGGGGTGAGCCAGCCTCATGTTCGATCTCAAGAAGTCCATGGCGGGAGAGAAGAGACCAAAACTCCACTCTAGCAGGAATGTCAATCTGATTGTTGAGGAAGAACCCCATCCCTGAACTTCTCTTAGAAGGAAGGAGACAGAGACGGTTGTTTTTGTTGTTAGTTACTATTGAGTTAATCCTGATTCATAATGACCCCATATATCCTGAGTATAACTGCTTCATAGGGTTTTCAAGAATATGACCTTTCGTAGGCAGATCACCAGGCCTGGGATTGAACCACAAACCTTTTAGCTAATAGTCAAGCATTTGTGCCACTGAAACCAAAAAGCCAAACCTGTGGCCTTCAAGTCGATTCCAATTCACATCCACCTTACAGGACTGACTAGAACTGCCCATGAATTCTCTGAGGCTGTTAACTTTACAGAAGCAGATTGCCACATGTTTCCTCCTCAGCCTTTCAGTTAGCAGCTGAGCACTTCAGTCTCTCTGCTGTTATGGCTCCTTATAGAGAGACTATTAGCGATAAACTGTTTAAGGGTGAATTTGTCCCAGAAGACAAGAGGAAATAAAGTTAAAAGAATCATCAGACTTAGAATTAAGTAGGAAAAGATTATTTAAAGTAGGAAGAAAGTGGACCCATACGGGCTGGTAGTCTGGTTAGTACATACCTCCTGATTCCTTGGTGCATGCAAACCCATGGTCAGGACCTTAGATCACTCCTGGACCTTAGAACACTCCTGGGCTTGCTCATTTCCTCTCAGTTTGGCATCCAGGAAAATCCTCATTGGCTTTGTTCTCAAACGTAGCACTTTACATGTATTAAGAGTGTCTGGGTGAACTGAGGCAGCTACTCTCAGGCCTGGAGGATGGGCTGACATCAGGGCAGAGAGACAAGCCATAGAGTAGACTAATTATTGGTAGGCATTGTTGGGTCTATTTTTCACTCATAGCAACCTCATGTGACATAGTGGAACTGTCCTGTAGGATTTTCTAGGCTGAAATCTGCAAGGGAACAGATTGGCAGGTCTTTCTGGGTGGGTTCAAACTGGTAACTCTTTGGGTAGCTGCTGACCACTTCACTACCAGGGCTCCTTATATAGTAGATTAGGAAGAGCAATGTACTTGATACATAAAGACCCAGATGTGCTCTCCTTCCTAGGGAGCAAAGGACGAGGCATTAGGGTTCCCATAAGTATTAATAAGTGCCCAGCTTGTGCTGAATGCAATCAGAGGCCCCAGAAGAAGGGCAGGACCAAGAATCTATTCTCTGGGAGGCCACAGTCCAGTGGGGGTCAAAATAGACACCTAAATATCAGAGCAAATTCAGGCAGAGTAAAGTCTGATCAAGAGTGAAGTTTCTCAGATTTGAAATGGTAAAAAATTTAGATGTAGGCTACCCAAGGAGGAGGCTCAGACTGGACTTCAATGGATGCCTAGGAATTGGAGCTGAATGAGGAACCAGCTCCAGCTGAGTGAGGGCTATCCTAGAGGCACAGAGACAGGAAGGGGTCTGCCTGGCAGCGTGAGCAGTGGTGAGGAGGTTGACCAGCTTGGAGCAGAGGAGGCCAGCCTGGGCAAATCAGTGCTCTCCAGGCTAGCTGCCTGTCAGAACCCACTGTGAGGTGTAATAAAACCACAGAAGCTTAGATGGTCTGATTTCAGTGTCTAGAGCCAAGCCCCAACATCCACATATTTAAAAGCTTCACCAGCTGTAGAGTGGAATCCCACTGGGATAGAGGGAATTAGAGAAGGAGAATTTCTTGACTCTGAACTTAGAGTTGTCCTTGATCCCATCCCAGTGCTTACCCCATAATACAACCCTTAGTCCTTAGAGAAGGGGCCCACAGGATCCAGACTGTTGTTTCAAGATGAAGACTTCAGGCTGGTGAGGCATCAGGGAAGGGATTTGGTAAGCTGTAGGGGGGAGAAACCCCACCATTCTTCCGTTTCTGGGCTGGGAGATAAGAGTCCCCAGCACATCTGGGTGGCTCCATTTCCCACTCCTGCCTGCCCACAAACCCATCTGGATCTTGACAAACCTGTTCCTTCCCCACCCCCACCAGCATCTGTGAGCTATTTCCCTCATGGAATTTGGAAATGCTTCTTGCCCCCATTTGTAACAATCTGCCACATCCCATAAACAATTCCCTGCCAGAGTAGGAGGGAGGGATGGAGGGAAGGAAAGGAGAAAAGTAGTACATTACAAAAATTAATTTGCCATCTTTAAATGTGGAGTTTGGAGTTGCTGTAATGAGCGAGATCCTTCAAAATGCTCACTCTTTGGCAGTTACTAATGGAGGTCGTTAAGCAGAGAAGAGAGGGGCCTCAGAAATGCTTCTCTCCACTTTCTAGCCTCTGGTAGTCTCTCTGTTCTCCCCTCGGGCATTGAGATCATGTTTGCAACATGCAGTATGACCTCTACTGCCACATACCACCCTGAAGGGGTGGTTTCACCAACGTTAGTGACAAAAAGAAAGCATCCACTCCTTCCTTTAGTTGCAAGTGTTTGCTGAGCACTCAGTATGCTCCTGGCACCATGAGTAGGTTGCCATCGAAGTTCTGCCGGTTACGTCCTGCACAAACATAGCAAACTGTGTGCACAGAGGAAAAGGCACGTTTTTCTAGTTTGCATAAAAATTCTGTGTGGGTGGGCAGCTGGGAAGACCAAAAGGACACCCCCTCTACCCCAATACAACCCTGCCTTCAGAGAGCTGAGAGGCTGGTGGAGGAGGCAGAGGGAGCAGGAGAAAGGAGGAGACCTCCCCACCACCAGGCAAGCCCTACCACCTGGGGGCTCCTGGCTGCAGCATGGGGGAAATTCACGGATAAGAGGTCTCGATTGGGACAGTCCCAACCAAGAAGGTGCTCATTTTCAGCTTCCCATTTCTGAGCAGTGCCCTCCTGGGCCCAGCTTCCTGTTGAATCTTAGGAAACATAGAAGCTGCCATCCTCACTAGGGGGATGATACAGATCCCTTTTCTCTTGGCTCCCCTGAGGCTCAGGTGCTATTGCTGTAATGGAAGTTTACTGAGAAACAGAAACACAGCTCAGAAGGGAAGTTAAAGAATTGTTCCTCATCCAAAGGCCTGGAAGCCTGTTAGCTTAGCTGGCATGGGGCACCAAGGTGGTTTTCTTCCCACTACCATGAGCTATTCAGTTTGCCCCAACCAAGGTCGTCAGGACGAGTGCCTCTGTGGGTGAGCATCTGCCTCACTCACCTCCTCTAAGACTGCACCATTCATCACTGGCTTAGTCACTGCTGCTCCAGGATCCAGGCTTCAGCCCACAGTGCCTACAGAGCAAAGGCAACAGATGGAAACAGCCTTCTCCCCTAGCCGAGTCCAGTTTCTTGCCCAAGTGTCTCCCCTTGCACAGTGCAATAGACATGTGAGTTGAGATTAGAAGATAGGAGGAAAATTGAAGCAGTCTGAGTAGACTGCGCTCAGCAAGTCCACTTCCAGTCCCTAGTGTGACCAGTTCCTGCTGAGAGCATCAGCCATACCTTATGAGTGGGAACCCTCAATGAATGCGCAAATGCCCTAAGAATGAGAGGGGACCCCCAGGAGGGGGTAGCCCAGGAGACTGGATGGCAGGTCTAGGTCTCCTTGTGCCCCTTCTTCTACCCAGCTACATTCTGCTGGCTGTCCCTTCATACATTGTCCCTTTCACTTCCAAGGGTCACTCAGGATGAGCCCACCCTCCTGACAGCCTCCAGGCCCCTTGCCCACTTTCCCACAGCCCTTCAGTGGGGCACGGTCCCTCATGATTGAGCCTCTTTCTGGCTTCTGTTCCTCACCCTTCACAATCTTTTGCATAAATGACCCTCCACCTCGGTCCCACCAAGGAAAACAACACTCCACATACTAAGGGACCCAGCAGGGGAAGGGGGTGTCTCCACCAGGGTCTAGGTGCTCTGGATTTCTGGGTCACACGCCTGCCCCCATCACTCTGTGATGACTGGGAAGAACGATGCCTCCCATGGATGTGATGGGGAGAGGGGCTGGGTTGGGTGGGCACCACTGACCTCTGTCCCCTGTGTCCTTGCAGCACAGAGCCCCACCGCCCCGGACCCCCTGCAGCAGGCCTACGCGGGAGTGCAGCAGTATGCAGGTCGTTAGTATCCACGAGTCTTGCATGGCTCTTTCCTGGCCATGGCCATCTCCCCAATGTCCCCTCCTTCCCCTCAGGCCTGGCCCCAGTACTGCAAGGGAAGGGAGGAGGAGGGAGTACTGGGAAGCTATAGCATAAGGAGGGGCTGTACTGGCAAAAACCCTCTCTGCAGGTCCCCTCCTCTTACAGTCATGTACTGGACGTGGCAGGGTGCCCTCGCAGTGGTGGGGATGAGGACTTCAGACAAGTGACCTGTTCAGTCACTTGTCTTTGCAATCACAGTTCCTACCCCCAGGGTGCCTCTCAGTTCCCTCAGGAATGCCAAGCCACATAGCAGTACTGGGGGTGAGGGGGAACCTGGGCTACTGCCCCCCTGCTGTCCATGGTCACTGCCCCAGGAAGTGGAGATTCCAGGGTTGAGAGAAGGAAGACTCTTTCAGTGCTAACCCATTGGAGGGCTAGCAATGCCACTTCCAGTCATACATAAGCATAGGCGGTGGGATAGTGCTTGCAAGCATGACCTGGCGGCGGAGGGGGG